GAGATAAAAGCAATACACTGTTTTTTTTTTTGGCTATGACATATTATTGGGGTGGTATGTAATGGGGAATGTTTTATAAAATATATATCATTATGATATATATAGATATTATGAAATAATTGGAATCCAGAAATATTTTTTTCAGCCCCTTGCTTTTCAGTCACTTAGGCTTCACAAAAATATACAGTCAGTGTTATAGTCAAGGACTGTATTTTAATGTAGTGGGAGTTATCAAGCCAAACATCTGTGTGTGTTGGGGAAGACAGACTGTTCTTAGGTCTTCATTAAATAAGTTAAAGTCAGTGTTATTTTCAGGCTAAGGAATTACGATTTACTTTTCATTATTTCAAAAAATCTTTAGAAATATTTAGATGTTTTAAAGAACATAGGTGTGTTTTGAAATGAGTTAATCTTAATTGGTCTCTTACTACATCTGATTTTAACTACTTTTCATTTTGGAATGACTTTAAAATGTTACTATACTTCCTCAATATTTTTTCTATGCTTATTTTATACTTGGGTTGAGTTTCTACTCAGGGCCAAAAGTTGCAGTTGAATTTAAGTTGACTTTATTCACTCAAAGTGATTTGCTGTAAAGCTCAGGTATATTTTTAATTTGCTCGTGTGGCAATGCTGTAGTGATCTCATAGCTGGTGGGTAGAATAGGATTAGACAAGATGGCACTGCTTTCGTTAGAAGAAGAAAGCTAAGTGTATCTTTGTATTAATTAGACAGAAGCACAGTTTTATCACTAAGGTAGTTGACATCACCTGCAGTCAGAGATTCAGATGCTGTGGAGTTAAAATAAAAAGGGTGCTGGATTTAGAAATTTTGATGTTTATATTGTGATGCTGTTTTTTTCCTATGGCTAAATTTTGTTCATTAGGACTGCAATATTGGGCTATGTGGAAAGGGTTAGAAGTCAGCACATTAAAAACATGCCAAATTTGTCTGGTTTAAGAGGGCCATTTTGAATAAGAAAATATCACACCATTTAGAAAAGAGAATTGAGAGTAATGTGAATTTTGTGTTTTCTGTGGCTTGGAATATTTATTGATTTAAAAGATGATATTATTACAGTGTACTCATCAATGATTACTTCAGAACAGTTTGATTTTTAACTTAGTGTCTAAAATGGTTTGGACTATTAGATAGTTTAGAAGGACTCTTCATGTGGATTAGATCCATCTACCTCTTGTATAGCTATATTTGCTTTGTCTGCAAATAATGGAGACTTACTGAGTTTAATTAGCCTTTCTATGTAGGGCAGCACCTTATTTTGCTGAGAGGAAATAAGGTATTTTATGTAAATTCATTCAACAAAAATTATTGAGCACTCTTCTGGTCAAAGTGCTGGAGATACAGTGGTGAACAAGGTCAAGTTCTACCTTCATCCTATGAGGCAATTACAATATTCTGTTCATTTTTTGTTCTTTTTTTAAAGTATATTTTTAATTTTATAATTTTCACCTTTACCCTTTTGTAAGAAATTCCATCCAAAGGAATGGAAAAGGGAGCAGAGAAACACTCCTTCCATTTAAGGATATAACTTGGCATTCATAAACATTGCTTTTGTACACACCCCACTGGCCGGAATGCAGACCTATGGCCATACCTAGCTACAAGAGAGGCTGGAAAATATTGCCCTTCACTCATGACTATGTGTTCTGCAAAACAATTTATTGCTCTGTGGAGAATGGAAAAACAAATTGGAGGATTCCCAACACTGTCTACTATGCATTTTCTCTAATGCAAACCTTGAATCTTTGGTCAATGTCATGGTTTAACCAGAGCTAATATCTCTATAACACTGGCTACCCATTCACTTCAGGATAAAATCTCAGACTTGTCAGCAGGACATGATTTGACTCATGCCTCTTCCTCCATCTCCTCTCTCACCCCTCCCAATATTACATTCTAAATTGCAGCCTTACTGACACTTCTTGCACTTCCCCAAACTTCCCCTGTTTTCTTTGCACTTGTCACTCTTTCTGAAATGCTGATGACTTCCTGTCTTTCAGGGATTAGTTGGATGACACCTCTTCAGGGAAGATTTCTTTGAGCCTCTTCTGCTTTACAACCTATGCCAGGTGTTTCTTTCATGTATTTCTTTAGTGTTGCTTGTCTCTCTCTTTAGCAACCTTTATTATAAGTAGTATTTCTACTTCTCTGTCTTTCCCATTAGCTGAGAGTTCCTTGAAGGCAGGCACCAAGTCAGTTATCTCTGTTGTCTGGCATGATACCTGGGACAGAACTGAATTTAATGTTTGTTAAGTGAGAAAATGGATGAATGAATATTTTACTTTTTAATTATGGCTACTTGGCCAAACTGGCAGGTCTGCTTATTTTCCATCTGGAAATTGCTGTAATGTAGTTATAGTGTTTTCCATTAGCCAGGACTGGGTTATTTTATACTAGATATTGATAAAATCAGATTGTTTAAAAAATACCAGGTGATTATATGTTATATATAAAATTATAAAAAACAACTAAAATTTTAGAATTGAAAGGAGCCTTACAAATCATTTAACTCAGCCCTTCTTATTTTAGAAAGATATATCATGTAATGGAAAAGGAAAAGTTAAAATGCTTGATTAAGTGTCTCTATCCCCAAGGAGCTTTCAATATAATTGGGAAGATGGTATTTACAAACATGGAAAAGATGCCTGAGATAAAGGTACCAAAGGAATAGAAAAGGTTGGAATAGTCAAGGTAGGTTTGACCAGGGAATTAGGTTGTAAAATGGCCCTTGATTTCTGGGTAGGATTTTTAAATGAGAGGACATTCAAGGTGTGGGGAATGCATAAAGATGGAAAGATAGAGATATATGGGAGAATTTGGGGACATGTTTAATTGAATGGTATTTGTATAAGACAGAAAACAGATGACTAGTACCAGAAAGGAAGACACACTTAAATAACAGGCTACTGAGAGAATCCATGGGCAGTTTTTAAGTAGGCAAAAATATAATGAGAATGATTTTTATGTTTTATTTGACTGATAGGTGTGCTAGGTTGATAGCTGAATGGGTTATGAAACTGGCACATTGTCTAATATGCCAATTAAAAATATGAACTTAATGTGTTTCCATTTTTTGCTCAAAGGAAAAAACATGAGTTATCACCAATTTTTGTGGTAGTTAACAAAACAATGTTGGAATTTTTCTTAATAGAAAAAGTAAGCCTAAGCAGCAAGCTTGGGATATTAGTAATGTGCCTGTATTAATCATGACATACTGTGGATAATTGCATAAATTCTCACGTTACGCCAATAAACTGTAAAAATTTCTGAAGTAACTGAGAACATGGTAGCAGCTGCAGCACCAGCCTGTGCTATTTGACAATTCATTCACAGACTACACAAATTTGTGGAAGAAGCATGAAGCCTCCTGATGCATTTGTGAGCCATTTTGTTTAAGAATTTTTTTTAAGCAAGATAACAGGGTACATTGTATTTTAAAGAACAATAAGAAGAGGTCTGCAGTACATTTAACTTTATCTAAAAATGAGAAGCATGAGAAGAGGACCGTAAATTCTCACTCTGTATAGACAAACAAAAAGTAGGCTCGTAGAGCAAGATTTGCTTCCTAAGTAGTATAGTTCATTGGTATAGTCAGGGATGAGTGTTTTTCTTTAAAGGTAATATATATGTGGATTTGGAAAGGACACATGAATGGCTTTAACACAGGCTTTTGAAAGTCTCTAGATTTACAACCTCAGAATGCATAGACTTGGAAACATAGGGATGCATGGGAGAATTTGGAAATATGTTTAGTTGAGTGGTATTTAGAATGAAGAAAGAAAGCAGACAAATGGAACCAGAAAGGGGAGGAACTTGAATAACATGCCACTGAAGGGAACCATGGGCAGTTTTAAAGGAGGTGACTGATATAATGTGAATAATTTAGTTATACATCAGTACATGTCCTATATAGTTTTCTTTTTTTCCCCTTTCATCAAGGACTACATGAAACTAATATGTACCCTTTTAAAAGACCTATATGTGAATAGTTTATGTGTTTCTTCTAAGAATTAGAAGGAAAATAGCATTTAAATTGATGTTCATTGAAGATGTATTGATGAGTCTGGAATATTTGTTAAACCTTTTTTAAGGAAACCTACCTAAAAGTACTTGTTTCAGATGGTATACAATTAAATACATAAAACCATTCTAATATTTTGTACTTCAACATAAACTTAAGTTCATGTAACATTTTGAAAATTAAGTGCATTTTAGCAAATACTAAAAGTGTGATTTTTCTTTGATTCATTTTTTCTTTGCTCTGTTAGAAAATCTGGTAAACTTTAGCCTGTATAACAACATGGAAATCTGCAGCAACTAGTTTTTTACTATCATATGTCATTATAAGACTTCCTTTAATAATACTTCAGGAAAGTCCCGCTATCAAGTGTGTCATTAAGACATAAAAACAGTCCTTAGGATTTCCTAGCTATGATCTATTGAGAAGTATTTGTTCTACTTCCCAATCTGGTTGAAATCCTAACTGAAGTACTTAAAATAATTTAAAAGTAGAGTGCAATGGGAAGTACTGAGTATATGTCAGCACATGTCCTGTTATTTGAAATGGTGATTAAACAATATAGACATAGGGTTATAGTGTAATGGTTAAGAGTGTAGACTCTAAGCCTGACTTAAAGTCTGACTCTTCTACTTTCTACTTGTACCACTTCATTCACTATTTAGAACAGTGCCTACACTATGGTAAGAGACGATGAATGTTAGTTATTATTACTTTATGCAAATGATATTTATCTGGGTATCAAAAGAACTTTGTTTAAATTAATTTTTCCAGCTATATTTAAAACAAATATCTATAGAAGAAGATATATCAAAAGAATGAGGTAAGTGTTTAAATCAGCAATATAATAGTTATGAAGTAGTAGGGAACATTTTTAGCAAGTAAATTATTATTATTGTTAATTATTTGAGCAAATATTTGAAAAACAAAATGAGAAAAAAATTGACCACCAGACTAATAATGGCTGCCTGTAACTTTTATTTATAGGATTTGTTTGAATTTGCCTCACATTAGAAAATAGCCTAGTTTGATTAGACACTTAAAAGAACATTTAAAAATGCAGATTTCCAGGAACTTGCAAAGGTAGTACAGAGAGGTTCCATGTACCGTTCACCCCCAATGGTTACATCTTAGGTAACCAAAGTACTTTATCACAGTCCAGAAATTGGCATTGGTACAATGTGTCTGTGTATAGTTTTATGCCACTTTTAATCACATTTTATATTCACATACCTACCTCTACAATGAAGATATATTTTATGACTGCAGACATAATTTTGAGAATTCAAGTGGTGAAGTAAGGAAAGTCTATTGTATTTATTCATATTTTCTCAGCATGTTCTTTCTTCCTTCCTGATGTTCCAAGATTCTTTCTTTTATCATTTCCTTTCAGATTAGAGAATTTCCTTTAATTGCTCTTCCAGGGTAAGTCTACTGGCAGCAAATACCTAGTTTTCCTTCATCTGAGAATGCCTTGATTTCTCCTCTTCATTCCTGAAGGATGTTTTTGTTGGATATGGGATTCTGGGTTCATAGTTCTTTTGTTCAGTTCTTGAAAAATCCTGTGTGCCCCTTTCTTATAGCCTCCATGGTTTCTGATGTAAACTCTGCTGTCATGTGAATTTTCCCCCTTATAAGTAAGGTATCATTTCTCTCTAGCTGCTTTCCAGATTTTTTGTTTGTGATTTTTAAAAGTTCACATATGATACATTTTAGAGTATATTTCTTTGGTTTTATTCTATTTGGGTTTACACAACTTTGCAAATCTGTAGGTTTCTTAATTTTTAAGTGAGTACAGTAGTCCTTCCTTATCTGCAGATGCTCTTTCCATGGTTTCAGTTCCCCATAGTCAAGTGAAATCCACAATTATTACATGGAAAAATGTAGAAATAAATGACTCATGCTTTACATTGAACACCGATGTGGGTAGTAAAGTGCTGTGCTCCTCTGTCTTGCCCAGTGTATCCGTTGTCCAGTGTATTCATGCTGTATATACTACCTGCTTGTTTAGCTGCTTAGTATCTGTCTCAGATCAACTTTTGATGTATTGCAGTGCTTTTATTCAAGTAAACCTCTGAAAGAGAGAGAAAGAGAAAATTCACAATAACTTTTGTTATGGTAGATTGTTATAAGCATTCTATTTTATTATTAGTTATTGCTGTGCATCATTTATAAATTTAACTTTATCATAGATATATATGTAGGGAAAACAGTATATATAGGGTTTGGTATGATATAGTTTCAGACATCCCCTGGAGCTTTGGAATGTATCCTTTTCTGATGGGGGGTGCTATTTTAATTTTCAGCCTTATTTGCTTTCTCTCTCCTTCTGGGACTCTGGTCCCTGATGATTTGTTCATTTTTTTTTTCAATCTGTATTCTCTCTGCTGTTCAAGTTGGGTAATGAGTATTATTCCATCTTTCAGTTCACTCATTACTTTCTCTGTCCCTTCCATCCTGCCATTGAACCTATCTGTTGAGTAAGTATTTTATTTTGATTCGTCTATTTTGTTCAGTTTTGAAAGTTCCATTTGTGTATTCATTTCTTCTGTTTCTTTCATGGTACACTTATTTTGAAGTATGTTCATAATTGCCCATTGAAGCATTTTTAGGATTGCTGTTTTAAATTTTTATTATATCTGTATAATCTTGGTGTTGATATCTATTGATTCTTTTTCCAAGCAGATTTTTTTCCTGGTTCTTGGTATGGTAAATGATTTTTTTGTGTGTGTGTGTGGGAACCTATGTATTTGGGGCTTTGTGCCTCAAACTTTGAATCTTATTGAAACATTTTATTTTAGCTGGCTTCTTCTGACAGCTAGCTTCCTGTGACAGCTCTCTGTCGTGGGAGGAAGGTTGCTGCCTCATTACTATCATTTGGGTCTAGATTTCCAGGTTGACCTGTTTACTTTCATTGATACACAAAGGAGTGGATCCTCTTTCTTATGAGTGAGAGTGGAGATCCTGGCTCCCACTAGGTCTCCAGTGATACCTCCTTGCCCAAGGAATAGGAGTAACTTGTTAACAGCTTCCCATATTGACTCCACTGAGACCATGAGGGAAGAATGGCTATGTAACCACAGGACAGTGATGAAAGTCCTAATTCCTCTACCACCATATCAGTGGATGATGTGCTTTTTTCAGTATAGCCTTGTGAAGGCAGAAGTCTAGACTCCTCACTAAAACTTTGGTGACAGGGATGGAGCACCATATTTTTTATGATGTTTAGCTGGAGTTAGGGAGGCTAATGTCTAAATGTTTTCTGTTCTGCTATTCTCATTTTGCTGGTCCTTTGGCTAGTAAGAACAGTCTGTCTTTTTTTCTTTCCTTTTCTCTTCTTTATTTGTCTGTGGTCATTGTTATTTCTAGGTTTTTAGCTTCTTCAGCTTCATGTTGAAATATATGAGGCAAAAAGAAGATCAAGGAATTCATCACTGTGTTGTTCCTTAGGTCCTGAAGTCCTTAGCTATCTGACTTTTCTGGCAAATTTTTAGAACCATTTTATTTTTCTTTTATAGTCTATGTTTGTGGTTGTTTGCTGTTTTGTAAAAGGAACAGGGAAAAATCGTCCCTGTTTCATCTTTCTAGAAGCAGAAGTTTGACATAATTCTTGGCCTTGCTGAACTTTTGTTATAATATTATGGTTTAAATTCATCTCAACTTGAAACTGGAGACTATTCTTATTCTAATTCATGAGACAGTTTGGAATGGCTTTATATACCATTTTTGCTCTTTTGGCAACGATATTATTTAAAGTAATCTTTATATAGGCAGCATTTGTTTTAGTTTCTAAAGCAAAGTGCTAAGTAGGTGAAAATATGCTGCACACACAAGAGTCTGTTACACCTTATTAATTTACTTAATATTAAAAGGAAACATGTTTGAGGTAAGGACAGTAAAAGTGGAGGCAGGTATAGATGACACAAATTTCATGAAGAGAAAAAATTTGAAATCAGAATAGGGGACTGGTGTCACACTGAATTTAGTAATGTAATTATATGTAATGCTAAAGTAATGATTAAATATATTTGTTATTATAGTACTAATTAACTATCAAGCACATCACTGTGATTAAAATCCTTTAGAGACATATAATATTTGCACACTCTATTATTTTACATGCCTTGAAACAGTAAATATAGATTAGATTGATTTAAAGGCTGACTGCTTTAACAATATTTCTAAGTACTTAAGCATCTTCCTGTGAATTTTTGTTGTCTTTCTTGTTGTGTTACTGTTAAGAGAGTTTGTGAGCATGACTTCAAAATAATAGCACTGGCAAAATGTTCCCCTGCTCCTACAGTTGAGGTCTACTGATAAAGGAGAAAAAAATATCCACCTGTTATCACATGGATGAATGTTAACATAGAAGAATAAAAATATCAAAAGAGCTGAATGCAGCCCTTTCAGTTTACTGATGAGGAAACTGAAGTCCAGGAGTGTTAAGGGAACTTGAGATAGGTAAAAAGCTAATTAAAAGAACTAGGACTCAGATTCCCTGTTTCTAGGCCCTAGTGTTTTCTACTAGCTGTTATTGTAAGAGGAGGCTCAGACCTGGGGCCTGCCCTCAGAGTCTACTGAAGGAGATAGAAAGGGTGGAAGTAATTATAATGATTGGTAGAAAGTGACTTCTCCCAAAAGAGAGGTTCAGATGTGAAATTAAATTATTTGAGCATTGAAAAATATACTTCAATTTTGAAATATGAATACATAAAAGAAGGAAAGAAGTCAGAAATCTTATTCTTTTCGTGTTGTTTTTAGAAAGATCTCCAAATTTATTAATTTTTATTTTGAAAAATCATATTACTGGTATAAAATGTATATAATGCTTGGTTTAGAGTTTTCTGTAACTTGCTTTACATAAGGTATGAATAAATGTATACACACAAGTCATATAGGTATAATTTTAAGATTACAATCAGTGGGTAGAAGTTTCAAAGAACTAAATGTCACATTATTATAAGGAGGTCTTCTAATAAAGATATTTTATTGAAATATGGAATCTCAGAATACAGGGAATTCCCATTACTAAAAGTGACTAAAGGAAGTCTTGTTGTTGATCTCTTGCCAGGGATGATAGTTCATAGGGAAATTTAGCATTGTATAGGTGGTAGGACACATATGAACATATGACCTGTAAAGTTCCTTTTGAACTTTGAGATTTTCAATTCCTACCTAAGCTTTGGAGACACATTCATAGTTTAAATGTTTAATTTTCTTCACATTTTAACACTTTAACAAATACCTCCTGGATTGGAAGGATTTAAACAGAAGGCCTGAATTTGCCTCAGTGCTAAAGATTTTCCCCTGGAAAAGGATATGAATGAGTTGTCTTTCCCTTTCTAATTATGGTCAATACACAATTAAATTTATCTTTTCATAAATATTTTTAGCACTTTTTTTATTATAAGGGTACTGCACACATAAAGATGAAAACATTAAAAGAAAAACTGGAGTAACCATGAAAAATAAGTCTTATGTATCTGGAGGCAGACATTATTTTTTGTTTGTGTATAGATGTTTTCTATAGAAACAGAAACATGTATGTTTATCCTTTTAAACACAAAAGGAAGTACAGAGTACATACTGATATATGCTGGCTTTGGTTTTCAAACTTAATATATATTATGCATCCATCAATACCAAGACATTACCTACCTTATTATTTTCTCACATAATGTTTAAAAATTGAGTATAATTAACATATCAAGACACTCCAATCCCCTAGTCCTCCAGTTCCTGGCAATCTCTATTCTGCTTTCTGTCTCTGGATTTGTTTATCCTGGACATTTTATATAAAAGTAATCATACAATGGCCTATTGTGTCTGTCTTCTTTCACTTACCCTAATGTTTTCAAAGATCATCTAAGTTATAGCATATATCAGTATTTTTGTTTCTTCTATGGCTGAATAATTTTACATCATATAGATAATATTACATTTTATTTATTAATTTATTAGTTGATGGATATTTGGGCTATCTCTGCTTTTTGGCTATTCTGAGTAATACTGCTATGAACATTTGTATACAAATTATATGGCATGATACTTTATTATTTTTAATAACTTCATAGTATCTTGTCATTTGGATGTTCTGCAGTTTATCTAAATAGTATCCTGCCTAAGGATATTAAGGTAGGTCTAGACTTTGTAATTGCTAGTACAAACAGCCTTGCACATGCAGAAATGTGCATATTTTTTAGATAACAGTCTAGAAATGGAATTGCTACAGTAAAGGTATACTTATATCCTCATTATCCTCTAAGGAGACTTCATCAATTTGTGCTTTCAAGTATCTATTTCCCTAAAATCCTAAAAAGAGATGATCTTTTTAACTTCTGAAGCATATATAATTTTCCTTTTTATATTCATGCTGTTTCTCTTTTTCTGGATCATTCTTTCCAGAAGTTTGTAACTATTAATAGATTAAAAAACCCTCAATAACTCACCTTTGATTTTCTTAAACTTCTGATATTTTGTTTTCTATTTATTTTTGCTGTTTTTTTTGTATTTGTACTTTATTATTATATTTTTCTTTTTCTATCATCCATTTCTGATGCATCTATCTTTAGATTTTCTTTTAAAACATGAGTATTTAAGGCTATAAATTTACCTCCAAAGCTTTGTTTTATCTGTACCTCACAAGTATTGCTATGTAGTATTTGTTATTGTTTAGTTTTAATACTTTGTAATATCCATTATGATTTATTTGACCCAATGTGTTGTTTAATATGTTTAATAATGTTTAAAATTCAACATCAATATTTTAGTTATCATTTATTATTGATTTTCAACATAATTGCATAGTTACCAGAAACTATGCTCTAATTTTTAGCCCTTTTGATATTTGTTGAGATTTGCTTTATGGCCTGGCATGAAGTCAGTTACCACAAATGTTTTTTCTGTGCTTGTGAAAGGAAGGCATTTTTTCTACTTGCTGAAATACTTTTCTATGAATATCTAAAAATTAAACTTGATAATTGTGTTCATATTGTATATACTTTAGCTCAGTTTTGCCTGATAATTCTATCAGTTACTCAGAGAGGTGTTAGAAATCTTACATTCTTATTGGCA